GCCCCAGCAAGCACAGACGAGGAGAAAGAGCCAGACATGTCCAAGAGATAAAACCTTATAAAGGGGCCTGGCGTCGACCAAGACGCCGCTGTGCATAAATCCTCCACACTGTTGAATAAGGCTGTTGACACAGCTACAGCCCGTGTGGAGTGCGCACGAATCCCCGTGGGGCAGGCTCTCCCTGCCTGACCGTAGGCATGTGCAATGCACTCGCAGAGCCAGCCTGCCAGGCGTTTCTTGGACAGAGCTTTCCCGATCACCCCGCCCCCGAAGCACACGAACAGCTGTTCGGTGCGTCTAAGGGCAGCCGTGTGCTCCACATAACATGCTAGCGCACGCACCGAGCAGAGGAGGTGCAGTTTAGCCTCCCTGGCCCTCCCATGGAGGGGGAGACTAAAACCCCCTAACTGAATAGCCCTCGACCTGAACGCACTCCTTAGGTCTTTAGACACAAAGGAGGGGTTCGGTCTAAGTGTCACGCCGCTCCGGCCACCCCGAACTAGTAAACAACTCGGGTGCACCGACAGAGCAGTTAACTCGGACACTCTTTTGGCTGACGTTAAGGCAAGAAGCAAAGCTGTTTTCACGACAATGCTTTCAGAGGGGAGAGCTCCAGAGGCTCAATGGTCCCGAGGCCAGAGCCTCGAGCACTAGGGGCAGGTCCCACTGCGGGGTGGAGACGTGCACTACAGGGCGCAGTCTCCTAACCCCCTGTAAAAACCGCGACTTCAGTGGTTGATTAAAGGCTGACCTGCCACCAAAAACCCTCACGACAGGACGAGATGGCTACTGCATACACTTTCACTGTGAAATGCGCCAGCCCTCTGTCCACCAGTAAGTGTAAGAAGGATAAAATAGAGCCCAACTCACAAGATAGGGGCTCTATTCTCCGCTCCTCACACCTATGCTGGAATCTCAGCCACTTTGGTCTGTAACAGGCTGTGGTGGATTCTGCTCTAGCTGCCTGGATAGACTGAATAACGCTGTCAGACAATCCACCCTGTCTCAGCCTGTCCCTCTCAGGAGCCAAGCCTGAAGAGGACGGCCCAGAGTGGGTAACGCCCCGATTGCACCTGCCCCTTGAAACATCGCCCCCCAGAACTGGGGGATCGCCCAGGGCTGGCCCACCTTCATCTGTGTCATTTCTGAGTACCACGGAGCCCCGACGCGATTCAGTGCTACCAGAATGACTGCCAGACATTCTCGCCTCACTCTCCCCAGGAGAGGGAGAATGAGACGCAGCGGTGGAAAGGCGTATAGCAGCTCCTTGGCCATGGCTCGTGTGCAAACGCGTCCACCCCCAAGGGCGGGTCGTCGCTCAGGGCCATGGAGAACCACAGGGCACAGTGGCTGTTGCGCCGGCTGGCGAACAGGTCCACTTCTGCTCTCCCGAACTGGGCCCAGACCTGCTTCACCACCTCCGGGTGAAGCACTCGCCTGGCAGGGGGCCGCCCCTCGACCTGAGGTCGGCCCCTCTGTTCTCCAGTCCCGGGACATGGAGTGCTCTCAGAGATAACACCACCTCTGAGGCCCATAACCACAGCTCCTCCGCTGTGGTCAACAAGGAGGCGGAGCGGACTCCGCCCTGCCTGTTGATATAAGCCACTGTGGTGCTGTTGTCGCACCTGACCATTACATGTCTCCCCTGAATTAGGGGCATGAAATGTCGGAGGACTAACACTACTGCCCGCAGCTCTAGGAGGTTGCTGTATCGAAACTCTGTCAGAGCCCAGCGCCCACCTATAGCTCTCTTCAGGCAGGTCCCTCCCCATCCTGTTCCGGACGCGTCCGTGAACACTGTGATGTAGGAGGTCACCCGTCCCAGTGGAGACCCCCTCCGGAGGTGGTCCGGAGACCCCCAAAACCGGAGGTTGCCCCCACTGAGGGGGGGGAGGAATGGTCACCAGCCGTCGTTTGTGCCTCCAAACGCAGGCTGGGGAACCACCTCTGCAGGCGGCACATATGTAGTAACCCCAGCGGGACCACCATGTGAGCAGCCGCCATGAGACCCAGAGTCTGCATGACAGTTAAAGCTGTCACTGTCGCCCCCTGTCGCAGCCTGTACACTGCCCTGAGAAGGGACGCACGTCTGCTCTCTGACAGGGTGGCACGCAGCGCGTCTGCATCGAGCACCACACCCAAATACAACGCCTGTTGGCGAGGTATGGGGGTGCTCTTTTTCCAATTGATCGCAAAACCTAATTTGGTTAGGTGTGTGATCAACTGTGCTGTGCAAAACATTGCCTGTTCCCGGGACCCAGCCATGACTATGAGGTCGTCTATGTAAAAGAAAACTCTCATGCCGTGTGCGCGCAGCGGTTGAAGCGCTGTGGCCACACATTTGCTGAATGTGCGTGGGGATAGGGAATAACCGAACGGCAGCCTGTTGTACTCGTAGGCTGTTCCCTGGAAGGCAAAACGCAGATACTTTCTGTGCTCTGGAACAATTTCCACATGAAAGTACGCGTCTTTCAGGTCGATGGTGGTGAACCAATCGCCTGGCTGCACAAGCCCTAGTAACTGTTTCACAGTTAACATGCGGAATTTCCTGCTGGAAATATGACGATTCAGGCATCGGAGATCTAGAATAGGTCTGAATTCCCCTGTTTTCTTGAGAACCAGGAAATACATGGAATAAAGACCCTTCTCTCTGTGCTGAGGCTGCACAACAGACACAGCCTGTTTCTGCACCAGAGCCTGAATCTCTGCTGAGAGGAAACCCATCTCCTCCTGGGAAGACAGATTTACCTCTCACATGCCCATAACAGGAGGTGGGATGCTGCAAAACTGGAGTGAATAGCCCCGTTTCAGCGTCCTGTCCATCCACCTTGTCAGTACACAGCTGAGTTTCCATTCCCCATAACATTGTGTTAATGGGCAAGCCCTCAGCTGTGGGGCCGCAGCTATAAAGCTGTGATACTCTCTGATGACCCGCTCCGCCGCAAAACTCCCCGTAAAGGGGAGATTCGCCCGTGGGGGGTCGAAGCAGAAAGGGCCGATTATTTATTGAGGACCCTGAACGCACCGCCGTACGCTCACGTGTGAGCGCACGCTCCCTCGTAACGCTATTTTCCTCACTATGGAAAACAGTATTAACCGGAGCTTTTACAGGCGTAGTTTGTTTTACTAAGGCCCCTGAACGCACCGCCACGCGCCTCTTTACGAGTGCGGGCGTTGCTATAATGCAGTTTCCACTCAGAGAAAAAAACGGCAGATTTTCCACTGAGGTACTTGAACACACCACGGCACGCTCCCGTGAGAGCGCGCGCTCCGCCATAATGCTGCTTCCTCTTACGGGCCGTCTCCACGGCAGCGTTAAAAAATCTTGAAACGCTTCTGCCCATTCACTTTGAATGGGGTGACGTCACTTTTTTTCGCTTTCGCCGAAATGCATTGTGGGCAGGCGAGCGGAGATTCTCAGGATTTTCAAGATCCAAAGTTGAACAATGTTCAACTTTTGAAGCTGAGGAGGAAGCGTCAGCCAATCAAATCCCGTGTACGCAAATCTGACAGTTCAAGCTCTAGCCAATCAAACGGCGTGTATGCTGGGAGAGAAATACCGCAGGTCATTTCCTCATATTCCAAAAAAATGGAGGAGAAATTAGCGGTAGCGAATCAATCACCCGGTGCTTTATGACCAGACCTACCGGGATATAAACCGGAGGAGCCAGGCATGGAGGGAGGTGGCAGAGGCAGTGGTATGTTTTCGCCTGTTTTGGGGAGTTTATATCCAGTTTACTTCGGGCTTTTTTGCTTCGTATGTCGCGGGCGGGAGATTCATGTGATTGGTTGTGCGCCGCGGGATCGCCTGGCAGGCCGAGCACGCCAGCGTCGAGCCCATACCGTTCATCGCGTGGTCGGGCCCCAAACACGTGAGGCAGAGGGGGTGCGGATCGACTCCTGAAATCAGGTTCGGACAATTCGGGCAGGTCCTATGGTCCAGCCATACTCTCTCTCTATTACTTTCACTTCAATACGTCTTACGTCTTCTGTGGAATCACTTCCGCTTAGCTGAAGAGAAAAAGGATAGCAGTCAGGAGGCGAGGCCTCCTTTTATACGGTGTGATGCGCGCGCATTCAGGTAGGCCCGCCCTGGGCCGGCTACGTCTATAGAAGTCTCAGTGGGAGAATGCACGCGGGATAAGGTAGTACCCATAGAGTCCAGTAGAGGGCGGAGCCTGTGAGAGATATAACAAAATCACTTGTATCAAGACCCACAGCAAAGCATCATGAGATCTTTATCCGTATGTACTTCAGTCATAGTTTCAGTGAAATATCTACAGCCTAGAAGATTTAAATTTTGAATGTATTCTGGTCATCAAAAAAACACTATTTAGGATTAAAAAAACAAAAAAATGTTTTTTCATTCCTATATGAGAAATGGAGAGATCTAGATGATGGCTTATCTGGTTTCTTGTTATTTACTTTTTTATCCACACCTATTCTTATTGCATATATTTGATGTCGTAAACACTCCAATAAACACATGCAATTCACTTGTATTGTTCATGTTCTTGTTAAAGGATCTATCTGTTCTAGGTTTTTTTATAACATATATTTATATTGTTGGATAAACAAATAATTTTCCATCTGGCCATCTTCCTGACAAACAGGTTCAGCACTAGGGTGCAGCTTTTTAATTTATGATGAGTAGTAATGGAGTCAGTATACTATTTAATGTCACCAACGTGCTACTTACTGATTGGTCCCAAAGTGTACCACCCTTACAGAGACCCCATGTCATGTTTCAGAATTTTGTGAGTTCACATTCTAAACTTCTTGATTTTACCTTAAAAGGTAAGAATTATACAAACACTTGACATAAAAATACCCACATGATTAGAGAAAATTACAACTTTAACAGGGAATAGGATAAGGGTTTGCATTTCAGACACAAATGCAGTTCAAATCGCATTAAAATAACACATGATTAATTTAGTGTGGGAGGAGTAACGTTCTACACCTATCAGCGGAAACAAAAATACTTTAAGTTTCGTTTTCTAGGTTGGGTTGGGCAGTTATTGAGATACTAAGCGAGAGACTCGTTTAACCTGCTTTTGGCTTCATATCAGCAGGCTGTACGCTACGGTAAGCTTTGGAACGATTCATATTCTTTTGTTTCATTGTTAATTTTGTAAGTCATGTTCTATATGAAATGAATGGTAATATGTAGTATGTTAATGTGTTAGGGTTTCTTGTTTGGTTGCTACCTTTGCCCCAGGCTCTTGAAAAACACATTAACATTAAATTAGTTTCTCTGGAGGAAGAAAAAGGGCCGGGGCTCAAGCCCACTTTGATATCTATGTGTGTGCACGTGCTTGGTGGTATGTATGTGTTTTGTACCATGTTGTTCTGTGTTTCTGCTTTAAATAAATACAAATTGGAAGACAGAAAACAAACAAGAAACCAACCTTAAAGTCATGTTACACAACCGAACATAAAAGTGTCATTTAGCAGAAAAGTATCCCAGAGGGGAGCATATTTCTCTGGAAAAACAACCGCATTGAGCATTTCTGATTTGGCCCTGAATTTGAATATATTATACCATTATATTATATCATTAGATTAGTATTATTAATGTTACTGATTTATTTGGGTGGATACAAGTTTGGTAGCCTTCAAGATGGTTATAATCACTTTGTTTGGACAGCAAACACTGTGTTAGTGGAAGCTAACATCTGAGAATCTGGAACTACCTGGAAGATTTTTACTTGAACATTTAACCAAACAATTATCAGAAAAGCAAATTGCCAATAGATTTTCTGGCATAGAGTAGTTCATGATTCAAATGTTAATGTCAGCTGTACTTGTTTTTGACAACAATTGATCTTTTATTCAGAATACATTTTTTTATCTTTCATAGATTCCATTCTACTGGGAAACTTGAAAGCCCATCTTACTGTTGGGGTGTACATGAATGAAAATAGCAGGTAAGTAAACAGCTAGCAGGCTCTCCTAGAAATGAATTCCATAAATGTTTATTCAGTTATTTTTGCTTATCTTGTGATCACACAAATATGTCGTACATGCTTCATATAAACATTTTAATTAGGCTGCCATTATCACTTTAATAACCCTTTATTTTTCTATTAACATATCATAACTCTCACAAGTAGTTAATTTGTTGATTAAAAAAAGTATTTGTTTATTTTCCAGTTGCTATTCTTAATCATGGATGATTTTGTTCGCAACAAATTAACTGAATGGAATCTCAGCGAATGGATACAAACATTTAAAGGTAAAGTATTATACAAAGTCAATATGACCTTCCAATACTGAAATATCTAAGCATCTACTTGAAGACACATAAACTGCCTCAACATCGTTACACAGTAACTTTCTGACATATCACTGACATACTTAAACAATCTTAAACGCTTCATCTTCACACAGAAAGGAAACTATTAAATATTAACTTCAGAGTAACTTATTTTATGTAGCGTCTTTTCAGCAGCAGACTGAAAATAACAAATAACACAATATTACCAATATGAATTCAGTTCAGACAACCTTATGAGGCTGTAATGCTCTTTAAAACATACTTTCAACAGCTGAACTCACATTTCACCCCATGCAAAATACACATCTACAGATATTTGCAATTGGTCGACATTTCTTAATTTACTTTTTTTTTACAGATCACAAAGTTGACAAGGAAAGTCTTTACTGTCTGGAAGATCATCACATTGCTGCCTTGATCCCAATTGTGGGACCACAGTCAACATTCCAAAAGAGACTCAGTTTGTTAAAGGTAATGTCTGCATTTTTATTATTTGGTCTCATTAATCTAAAGAAATGTACAACATCTACATACAAAGGAGTATAATATATCTTGTTGACTTTACTATCATTTTATCAAAGTTCTTTACTATTATGGATTTGAGACAATTTTCTTTTCTAACTAGGAGGAACAAAACACAACAAATCCGGAAACATCTGAAGCTTCTGTTGAAGTTAGTTGAATGCAGTTTAATTCACTTTTTATATTGTCATTGTCTGTTCAACATTTTACATGGCCACCAAGAGTATTTATTTTATTCACAATGTAAATGGGAGGAAGCTGTTTCTGCTCAGGTAATGATAACTTTAGTTTGTTATCATTGAACTTGACTCAATTCTTCATGCATTGATATTTGAAGCCTCTTGAGACAAAGTCACCTTTAACTGAAGAACTGTGAACTGTTTAATTTGTTCATAGTGCTGTTCATTCAGTAAAAATAATGCTGAATGTGATGACATGATAACCACTTTTTTAAGTATATATTATTTTGCATAGAGTTTTGAATGGGAAATGAAATGCAAATGTAGGTGTGTGTGAATTGTGACGATGTGTGTTCAAGCCTGTAACACCCTGTGAGAGGACAAAGAGTCAAATGTACATATTCATCCTCAGGTTTGTCCGTCCACCAGCAAAACAAATGATAAAGGTGAGATACACAGTTTCTCATATGGAGTTTTATTGATATTTCATAAACAATAATAAACCTGCTTTATCTAAATAATGTTGAGAATATTTTTTTAATAAAAAAAATATATAAATGTTATTTACAACAACAACAAAACACAAGGAAAGAGGAAGCTGGATCTCCAGGGTGAGTCCAGCCAATCACCAGCCAGAAAACAGCCACGTGAGGATATACAAGGAACATACACAGGTATTATTATTACTTTCCAAAATATTAGAAATTAGGGTTAATACGTATAATGTGTTTAAGGTTTTAATGTTCAGCAAATTAACTTACAAATATGTAGCAACACAGGTCTTATTAAGTTATAATGGCCTTAAACTGGAAGATACCTGCCGTACTATATACATCAGGGGTACTCAAATACAAAACTTAAAGGTCCAAAAAAATGTTTCAATAAGACAAAGGTCCGTTTATTACGGTCATTCAAACTTTTAAACAATTGCAACAAGATTCTTAACATTGTAGACCGCAAATACCTCATTCCTTCAGTACTTGGGTCAATCATATTTCCACGCTCGCGCCAGGGCCGGGGGAGGGGTTACAAGACGTGCCACAACTTTTCTTTCAAAACAAAGCTGCCAACTGGGGTGGCAGCTGTGGTGGCAGTTGCCACCCCATGCCACCCCGGTAGGTGAAACTAGGCTACTAGCTACAGTACAGATGCAACTAGATGAGCTGTTAACTCTCGCTCTGACTCAGACAGGTTGAAAGAGACGACACACGCATTTTTCCCACACGCATTCCGCAAAGACCCGCCCTACTGTGCCTCTGATTCGCAGACTGTTGGTGGGCGGGAAAAACGCTGACGGGATGCTGAATGTGATTGGACCAATGCGTTGACAGACACACACAAACACTGGAACAGTCAGAGATGCAGAGCACTGTTTGCAAGTGGACATAGCGGAGAATTTTGACTCGTTGCGTTGTGGCGATGTCTCGCAGATAACACAGATAACACAGATAATACAGATAATACAGATAATACATATGAAAAGTATAATTTGCTCAGAGTCCAGAGACAGTTGTGGTTCGGTCCGGATCCGGATCGGAGTCCGGACTTTGAGGATGCCTGATATACATGATGAAAATTATACTCTCAGGTATTCTTGATGGCTTCATTTGGAATACCTCTTAAAGGGCCCATGTCATGGCCATTTCCACTGATCATAATTCCATTGTTGAGGTCTACTAGAATAGATTTATATTGTGCATTTTTCCAAACTCACATTGGTTTCTCATACAGCATCTCTGTAAACTACGTGTATTCACTGAATTTCACTCTCTGCCTTTAACGGCTCGTTGTAGCTCCAATAGCTCCTGTGAGCACAGTGTGCTCTGATTGGTCGGGACGTTGTGAATCTCGCTGAGCTCCGTGGAGGTGTTGTTTCTTTGTTAGCGATACACAGCCAAACACAGCCAAACTCATCCTGAGCACACACAAAGTCACAGCCGAAAGTAAAAACAATAAGTGTGGCTTGATATTGAGTAAGAAAAAGGTTGATAAACGCTGTGAGAATGGGTCTGCAGAGAGAATGGGTCTGCAGAGAGAATTTTGCCGCGATCCCAACTGTCTGTTATCAGCCTGCAGCCAGGGAGGAGAAATCAGCTGAGCTGCCTGCTCCCTGCACACAGATGTGTGTGTGAGGAAGTCCGTGGATTGGTCAATTTGGACCAATCAGCGGGGGCTTAACGTAACGGCTCCGCGGACGTAACGTAACGGCTCCACGGATTGGTCCATTTTGTTCCGGGTACGGCTTGACATAATGCCGTACCCGGAACGAAATGGAAGAATCAAATGGACAATGACGTATCTCCAACGAGGTGTTTTGGGGAGGTATTTTCTGTGTTAGAGTTTTACTCGCTACAGGGTGTACTTTGAGGGTTTGTGACTCTGCAGACCGTTTACATGCATAAAAACCTTCATAACACACAAGGGGACGGGTAATAACTGGAAAAGCATGACATGGGCCCTTTAATGGATATACTGGTTATTGGTTCCTGCTGAATAGTTCTTTACTTTTACTCTTACAGAAGAAGTCATTCTGTCTGATGTGAAAAACATCATGAGTTGTGTCCTTGATATACTACCTGACCAAGACGACAAGCTCAACAAGTTCCTGAAGTAAGTATTGGTGTTTTCGAGCAAGGGGAAAGAGTTTAAAGAGACCATAGTAAACCTGTAGAAATTATACAGCACTGAGGACACTGTTGTGATTTGTAAGTCTACATGTTTTAGTCCAAAGTAGTATTATGCTTAAATAGGATGTTCGTACATGCAGATGGATTTCTTCTTGACTTTGACACAATCATTTAGTGCAGGGGTTCCCAACCTTTATTGTGCCAAGGACCGGCAGATACATTAAAAAAAAATCGCGGACCGGTTGTCAATTTTAACTGATTTTAATATTTACTCACCACCAGCAGGTAGCAACAGAGGCTAATTGTATGTAACAGCCTGAACAAATACTAGAACAATATGCATCCAAAACATATTAACAAAGTTTAAAAAAGAACCGGTATCATTTTTTGGTTTTTCGGAAAACCAAAAAACCGACGTTATTCAGTTTTTAAACCAAAACGGGAAAACAGATAAATTAACGTTTTGGTTTTGTTTGTATGATTTACGGATAATCCAGTGAATGCTGGGAAAACGAGGAGAAGCCGCATTATGAACACTGGCATTTGTTTTCAGAAGATATTATGATAGTGTCGTTCGTTCCGGTGCACTCCGACAGCATTAGCACTACATCGAGATTAAGATTAAACTAATTTATTTTGGGAACAGCCGCATATATGGAGTTAGCCATATGTGTGTAAATTACTGTTCATAAACATTTGAAAACAAATGCCGGTGTCGGACAGACACAAACACACCGAACACACAGAGCTGAGCTGAGCAGATCACATCATGCGCCTTGGTGACTGACTGGACATCTCCTTCATAAAACTAATAAAAGGGGGAGTAATCGGGCAGTTCGATGTGTGTAGATGTGTGTGTATAGGTGTGTGTGGTTAACACGTAGCAGCCTGCAGTCACTCTTAAACTGTTCTGATGAAGTTAAACACAGTCATACTGGTGCTGCACTTCTCAGAAGCGGAGTATACGTCCCGCTGCCTCCGGATGCTGCAGCCGTTTTAAGAAGTGAAGGAGGGTTTCCTTCTATAAAGCAGCTGCGGGCAGCAGATCGTGAGAGTCCCGGACATTAATTCATAGATCAAGGCAGACTGGTTTACTCTTCTGTTTTGCCAATCCGGTGCTTAAACAAATAGCTCTACACCCCTGGCCGACATGTCCTTAAAATGAAGTCCGAGTTTGAAATATATCTCAAATAATGTATGCACCACCATTTCCCCACATAAACATAACAGTCTGCAATCAAACGGTTGTCTCCTGTGCGCTCCTCTTCCTACTTGGCGCACCGGTAACATGCTCGTGTGCACGAGCTACTGGATGAAATAATATGACTGGTGGCATAGGTGCGAAAATTAAACACTTTTTGAAAAAATATTATGATAAAATATTTTTATATATTTATAATTCTGCAAATATTACGATAAACTCACAGCTATTTCGCGGCCCGGCAGTAACACCTCTGCGGCCCGGTACCGGTCCGCGGACCGGGGGTTGGGAACCCCTGATTTAGTGTTTGTTACATTTGTTAAGAAAAAAATTAATTCAAACTCTTGCACAACAGAAATAACATCAAACATTTGGAGACAGACAAGAGGGAGGTGGTCGGCGTCTTTGGTAGAACGGGGGCTGGAAAGAGCTCTCTGATAAATGCCGTCATTGGAGAGAAGGATCTCTTGCCCTCTGGAAGCATCAGTGCATGTACCTCAGTGATGATTAAAGTGGAGGCTAACATGCGTAACTCAAAGTATGAGGCAGAAATTGAGTTCATTACAAAAGAGGTAAAATAAGCTAAATATGTTTGTTAACTTCAAGCTATTTCAACTTTTATGATGAAGCTGAATATAAATCTACTGACTACACAATCTGCCATATAATAAAACATATATATTTTTAGGAGTGGAAAGAGGAGTTGTGGACCTTGTTTAATTTCCTTGGTGATAACGAAAATCAGGAAAAAGATGAAGATTATGAAGACAGTGTTGAAAAGCTGTCAGTTCTGTATGGAGAAGAATGGAGAAACAACTCTCCTGAAAACCTCTTGGATAAAAAATACTTCAAAGAAATTCCTAAATTTCTCAATTCCAAGAGTAAGATTTTGAGATGTGATACAGTAAGTAAGACTAAAACTTATATCCTTAATTTGTCCGGTTCAGTCAGTAGGGGCTTGGACTGTGAGCCGTAGGGTCGCCGGTTCAAGTCCCCGAACAGACTTAAAATATGGAGTGTGGACTGCTACTTGGAGAGGTACCAGTTCACCCCCCCACTCCCATTGCTCCCCGTGCGCTGTACAATAGCAGCCCACTGCTCCTAGTACTAGTATGGGTTGAATGCAGAGAACACATTTCACTGTGTGTGTGCTGTGTGCATGAACATGTGTGACCACTACAGAGGGTTTCATCTTCCAATTCTATCCATCTATCATTTCATAAAACAAACTCTTGGCTGGTGTAGTTTCACGATAAAACACCAAATGCGCAGATACATTTGGTATGAGGCTTGATCTATCTGGGCTCTAATTACAATAACTACAAAACCATATCTTCTTTATGCATCATAGGAAAGAAAATGTCTACCAGTAACTAACTTGCTTGCAAGAACCTCCTCGATATTATTTACGCACTACCAGCTTTAAATTGAAATATGATGTTAAAAATGTTAAACCTAATTATTCCCCATTGCTAAAATATAAACGTATGGTTTGCTACTTGTGTATTTAATTCAGATGTTGTTGTTTCAGTGATAGGGTTTCAAATTGACTTTTTTTAATTTTATGCCGTTCTTTAACACAATTTTTTAAAGCATTTTAAAGTTAAAGTTTGTTTATTTTAGGCCAAAGAGCTATCTGCTAAATTGGTCAAATACACACGAAGTGAGTCAAAAGAGGAAGATGCTAAAGACGTGAAGAGGTGTTATTGGTCACTGGTGAAGTGTGTGACCTTCAGGGTGCCGAACAATCGTCTTCTCCAGCATGTCACACTTGTGGATCTTCCTGGAAATGGGGACCGTAACAAGAGCAGAGACAGGATGTGGAAAAAGGTGATTTATCCACATGCAATGCTGATTATTGTGGAAGGTTACACTGACAATGTAACCATTATTATTTGCTGTATTCCCCTCCAGCTTGTTGGAAGTTGTTCTACTGTGTGGATTGTGGCTGAGATAAATCGAGCAGCTTCTGAAAAAGAATCCTGGGAGATCCTGGAAGAATCCTGCAGCCTCATGGGAAATGGTGGCGAGTGTCAGCAGATTCATTTTATCTGCACCAAGTCTGATCATTTTGAAGATTCAGATGATCAGTAAGTAGTTCAAGATGCCAAAAGTACACAGTTAAATGTACCATCCAATAATTTAGACACTGACACTTGATGGCCAAGAAGAGAAACCATGGAAACATTGATTACGTTTACAGGCACATTAGTATCCTGGTTTTGATCGTATTCAGGGATATAATGTTCACTTGAAACATGATAAACCAGGTTATTCATGATCATAACAGTATCCATGTTTCTAAAATGTCTGCATGTGTGTCTTGATTCCTCAACATCTCAGCCATTTATTTCTGTCCTAATGTTGTTGCTTCACAAACACTTTGTGATGCTGGATTAAGCTCCTCCATGTGATCACTGGTTATTGAAAATGATGAGTATGATGCGTAGTGATATGATATCCTGGAATGTATGTGCAGTTTATGTAATTCTCTAAATACAAATCTTTTCATAAAGGTCAGCAGCTGGTGTTCGTGCTCAGATACTGAAACAAAACGAGCAAGCCAAGACAAAAGTGAGGGCACAATTCAGCAAACTAAAAGAGGTTAAGGTGAGTTATATTGAATTCAAATCAAACACAAATATTGTCCAACACGGCAAGCCTGCTTTTATATCAAAACGTGTTTGTTTATTTAGAAACAATTCAGTGAGGACTGTTTCAAGGTTTTCACAGTGAGCTCCAAAGAGTTCTTGAAAACGAAACGTCTGGATCCAGATGACACAGGTGATTCAAGTCTCCATAAGTGATCCCGATGACAAAATGGTTTTATCTCCTCCAATAAATAAGTAGAGATACTAATTGAGTGTAACATGTAAATTCAAGAATGTAATGTATGTTTTTTATAGAAATTCCCAAACTGCAGAAATTCCTGCAAGATCTCAATGACTGGCACTCTGAGACATTAAACTATGTGTCTGGAGCTCGCAGGATTCTCTCTCTGATTCAGGGAGCCAGCAGCAGAGAAGGGGTAAGATCAAGTAACAACATCTTTCATTGTATTTAATATTGACAGAAAATAATAACATTCACAGCAAATAATTAAGCTGCATACACTAAAATGTTGTGTAAAAATTGAAAAGTCAAGACAGACTGCTTACATGTAATGTTACCTGTGGAGCCAACAATGTATTGGATTTACTGAGTTTGTGTTGCTTCAGAGAGGATGCATTGCTACACTAATTAAAGTTTTTTTTTTTACTTATGAATGTGTTATGTATGGTTTCAGGCGGACATAAAGACAACAGTGTGCAAAGAACTTGAAAAAAAGCTGAGTCATGAACTTGATAAAGTCAGGGAACCCATGGAAGAGACCCTTATGGCTTTTGAAAGATGCCTCAGTGAGGGGGTTGAAACATCAAAAAGTTCATGTTACAAAGTCTTAAAGTCTGTCCTTTATCCAGTAAGTATTTAAGTAATAATTAAATCACAACAACTGATTTCGACTAAATATGAATATCTCTTACAAAATTCTGTTTTGTTTCAGACAAAGAAAGATGGTGGTGCATTTCACAGGATATTGAAGTGTGTAGTTCAGAATGGTGGCATCCTCAAAACAAATAAAGGGAAATCAATAAACTTCAATATGAGGTTTACTTCCTGTTTGATTGAAAGCATTGACGAGGAATTTAAGAAGACCTTCCCGTAAGAAATGACTTAACAAAGACATAAAACCCTGTGTTGGATAAATTGTGTTTTACAATACATTTAAATACATTATTGAAATACAAATTTGTTAAGGCCTTATGAATGTAAGCATCTCTTTTGTTAATATGTTTTAGAAATGAAGGAAACAGTGGACCATTCAACGGGGTCATCAATACGTTTTCACTTGGCACAGAGAAGCTGATGATGAAAAAGGAGTGCGAAAATGTCAAACTGCAGCTGACATTTCTCAAGACAGAGGTAAAATATCCTATTCATTAGACGTTATCAGATATGTTTGTAATGCCAGGGAGACTGTAGTGGAAGGGTGAGCAATATTATTAAATATAATACATTTTGATCAGTCAACATATTCATATTCATTGTACTGGAATAACTCAGGAACTGGAGATGGCTTTGAAAAGTTAACTGCAGCTGTAAAGCGGACCCTTCCCCAAGTCATGAAGACACACTCAAGATTACAATAAAAAATAATAAAGGGAAAGATGAGTCTTGTTTGTAACTTATTGATCTTAAAGGTGGGGTAGGTAATTTTGGAGAAACCAGCTCGAGATCGCTAGAATTTGAAAATACACAGCCGGAAAAAATCTGCCACTTCCTTACAGAGCTCCTCCTCCAACACACACAAACGCGCACATGACCAATGAGGGCACGGGATAATTTTGTGCACAGATGGAAGGCTGACAGGCAGGTAGGCCATCCAGTTATTTTAGCCGGGCTGGCTAAAATGATTGGTCGTGCTTTTCACAGTACTACGGCTTCCACAGATGACATTTTTTTATGGATTTGTTGTCAAAGCACTTAAGATATTCATTGCTATCGAGATGTTAAGAGCATTCCATGGAATATAACAAAAAGTGTGTCTCGAGCCGGTTTCTCAAACTTACCTACCCCACCTTTAACATATGTTGATATCTGCTTCACATTCTCTCTCTAAGGAAGAAAAAATGAAAACAAAACTCAACAAACTCATCCGTGAGCGAAAGAAAACGATCTACAGCAGCCTGACAACAACAATCGAGGAGACCATGAAACCATGCTATGACAGTAAGTCAGAAGATCATTACAGACATAGAAATACACTTCTACACATTTTTATGTTGCAACATTTTGATGTCAACATGTTTCTGTTTTATGTAGGAGCAAAAGAATTTAAAGGAGAAGGCACGCTGACAAACATGAGGGAAATTATTGAAATACATGTACATGTTTCAAAGGACGTCATGTTTGCTCAGGCTAAAGACGCCATGATGAAACAGCTGAGAGACTTGAAGGTTTGTCACATTTTATATTTCGTTATACAGAAATAATTCATCACTGAAACATGTTGGGAAATTCAACTAGGAACACTGCAACACAAACATACATGTGATAAATATTTCAATGCTGATTTAGTTGGAGATCCTGGAGAAACTGGAGAGCACGATGCAGGAATCAATCGAGCTGTCACTCAAAACAGATGGTGACTCCATCCCAGGTAAAGGAAACAAAACAAAATCAAAAAAAATACTGTACATTTGATCGTAATTAAGAAGTCGATACATTCCCATTAGTGTATTAAATGAATCCACTTGTCTGAAACCATATGTATTGTTTTTGTTCAGATGTAAGTGTTGAGCTTCAGATGGTAGAGAAATACTACAATGAACTGACCAAAAGTCCAGATGATGATGCAATTATTTGGTATAATAAATATAATGTAAAATATACATATTGTCTGGATTATGACTTGTTTTCTGAATAACACTAACAGTGCATTTATTACAGTATTGATTAACCCGGTCAAGCAGCTGCAGTGCGTCCATGATGTGCACAGGTAGGTGTTAACTGATGATCCAAACTGTTAATAAGTGTTTGTTATTAATATTACATTTCACAACATCGCTCTTTGTCTCTCTGGTGGACGTTTCAGGGTTGATCAGTGGAGACTAACAGCAGACGCCTGTTAACCTACCGAGGATAAAAGACATGAGGCCTCTGGATTGGGTCTCAACAATTGTTTTTAAGTTCTTATCTCTTTTGACTTTGAGTGTTTTTTATTTTTAGCATAAAGCGGTTCCCTAATTCAAGTCATTTAAAAATCCTATTTAAAAAAGCAGTTTGATGATAACGTTATGTTCTACAGTCTATCAAGTAATATCTCTATGTAAATAGCGACCCCCAAATCCACCCCACCCCTGCTTTCGTGTGCATCAGCATTTTAGTTGTCTGCCAGAAGCAGTGGCGGATATTGATATGGGCAACATGGCGGTTGCCCAGGGCGCCATTTTGACGGGGGCGTCACAAGTGCAATGAAAAAAAAAAATTCATATAGTGTATTGTTGTTGGTGTTGTGGGTCGAAGGGTTATCACAGCAGGCATCTGGCAGGGAAGGTCTCATACTCAAAGAAGGGCAGGGGTGATCTCAGGTCGCCTCAATATGGGGGAGAGAGAGGGGGGCGGGGGGTAAACTATCTCTATCAAATAAACACTTTCGATGTTTATAAAGTAGTACTGCAATTAGTCAAATTAATGCGATGGGAGGTGCACTGCCCAGGGCACCAAATCAGCTAGATCCGCCACGGGCCAGAAGCATTCATAAATACTTTTTAATCCCGTTTTCAGTACACTTTTACTAAACACTTTAAATCTTGGTCTTTTTTAACCAACAGGCTTTTACCTTACAGTAGCTCAGGCAACAGGAGTTCTTGGCAGATTTATGTCCGATTCTAGTTTAGGCTGAAATTTCAATTAATTAATTAAATCCTCAACCTTGATCACAGCTCTACTGTAGGGTGATTTGGATGTAGACTAGGCTTCTTAAAGAATGCTTTTGATCTGTTTTCTCTTATTTGAAAGCACAAAACTCACTGCAAATTAATGGTATTTGGTGTTTTTCATTCATATATGAGAAATAGAGAGATCTGATGGCTTCTCTGGTTTCTTGTTACTTACTTTTTTTTCTTTCTATTTTAATGCATACATGTATTTGATGTGGTATACACTCCAATAAACCAATACAAATCACTTGTATTGTTCATGTTCTTGTTGAAGGATCTATCTGCTCTAGGTTTTTGATAACATCATTTTCTATTGTTAGATAATCAAATGATTTTCCAAACTTGTTATTTTAAACTAGAGTGAAATGATGTGAAATGTGTGCTCTTCCTGCCAAACAGCTTCAGTACTAGGGTGCAGTTATTTTAATTAATGAAAAATAATAATGGGTATGCTTTTCAATGTCACCAACAGGCTACCTACTGATTGGTCCCAAAGTTTATCACCATTTCCATGGGCGTAGGAAGCATCCTGAATGTGGGGGGGACATTTTTAACGGGGGGTGTGGGGGCGAAAAAATATATAGATTTCCTGTATTCTGGTGCATTTTAACAGGTGGTTTGATACTTTTATGTGGCTATACTAGCATGAGGAAAATGATGGGTACATTTTGTAATTTCATCCAGTAGTAAAGAAAGGAAACATATTTGATTATTAATTCAGAGCCATCTTTGAATTAATAAAAAGCAGTTTAAATGCCCATTTTTTGTACATTTATATACAACAATAAATATTTGTGAGTGCATTGAGAGATATTGTTGTGGAGAGTCATTTATATATAAATCGCAAAATACATTTGTGAATCCTTCTGTGAGCATTTATTAATATTGAGACTGATCTGACTCCATACAGATGTTAAGTTCACCTAGGAATGGTATCATTGACTTAAATGTTCAAATAAATGTTGCTCTTCTGTCTATATTGGTCATATGATGCCCCTTGACTGAAATGTTTCCTGTTCAATATCCCCACTGATTTCCTTAAAATCCTGGGATGAGAGTCCACATCACAATTTACTCTCAACTGTCATTTCCCTTTCATCACTCACCTCAGCAATGGACCTCTCTCTCTGTCCCTGTATTCTGCCTATGACTCACTCTCAAGTGCAGATGTCAAGAGAGGTGGTGAAGTGATAATTATTTATTGAGCAGTATACTCTTTCACATTGAATCATAACAAGTCATACTGAATGTAAATACAACTGACTCTAAAGTAAGTCCCAGTCTGTGACACATTTTGAAGACTCAAAGTCCCAAGCAGTAGGTAGAATATTAGCTAGTCTATGTAATGTGCACAGAAAATAAATAGTTAACTGAATACTGGGATGGAAATAGCCTATAAGCACTCAGTAAAACATAAACACACACAAAAAGCTTCTGAATGATAAGAAGTATAATTAAAACATAATGCACATTACCATTTTGAGAGAGAGTACCTAAGTTAAAGAACTCAGAAAATAATCTCTTATCGAACTGAGGCTCCAGTAAAACACACTGACTGCGTCTCTACATGGACATCAGTAAGCCGTTTATGAGTATTATCCCGGTTATGATCATATTGGGGATATGGTGTTTACATGAGCACAGAGAGATCGGGTCATTCATGTTCCCTGTTTACATGATAAATACTAGTAACCTGGCATTTCGATGCCTTTTCTCATCTAAACTATTCAGTAATTGTATCTCTCTATCATGACATAAAGACGAAACTCCTCTCCAGAAGTGAGACGCCGCCATCACTGTTAACTGATTAACTGCTACCAGCTGATGACTTACTTTCCTCTTCTTTGAAAAAAATGTTCTTATGTCCATGTTGTCTGGGGGAGAAAACATATCAAACCAAGAGATCGTCAGCTTTGATTTTCGCTGTATTAACCATTTCCTGAACATTTGGTGTGTGTTCCGCTACCGGCATCGCTTCATACAACAGATCTGGGGCCTCATTTATAACGCCTTGCGTAGGATTGACGTGGGAAGGTTGCTTACGTAGTACAAAGCAAAAAAATAGGTACAGAAATGTTCCGACATTTTCCGATTCACAAAACATTGCGTACCGGCGAGGGAAGTGCGTACGGCACTTCCTACGCCTGTTTCCCTTTATAAATCACAATCGACTCGTAACGCCCATATTTGCCTATAAATAGTCAAAGAAACGCCCATTCATTCATTCATTTTGACTGACTGCATGAAGAAGATCGCAGGAAATTACGACAGAACAGCTAAAAAAGACATCTCACACCGTGTCAGATTTTGGTTATTTTGGGGAGGTCGAGATAAATCTTGTTTGGTGGATGCAGTTTGAACCAGAGTAGCAGCATGGAGGTCGGATCGTCACCAAAATAAATAAATAAGTGGTCCGAAAAAAGTTAATGACAAAAAAAATACACATAACCTTCCTCAGGCAGTGTGTTTGTACTGGGGACAGGAGACACCCCCTTGATGAGAAACTGTAAGAAATGATCGGGGAATCCCTCCGCAGTGGAGTCATGACGACTGGATCTGAATTATTTTGTTGTATTTGGTGGTTTGTGTTCCAGCTGTCGATCAGCAACTATATATCCATAATCCACCAGTTAAAGGAAATACAACTAATGTGTTGTGTTATATTAGCTGTACAATTTACCACATATGGTGTTCTTAGTTTCCATACCTCCTGTGTTTTACGAGCGACTTATCAAGTCTTGGCAAATGGCATAAAACACGATTAAACGTGATAGTATATAAAACCATGCTCGTATCTACAACCTATAGAAATGCAAAACGGCGTCAGTTTAGACGTAATTCTGTCCTCCTGCTTACCGCATCATTTATGAGAAAACATTTCATAACATGAACACAACATATTCGAGGTGGTTTTAAATAACATATCCGTATTTATTTATTTCTCCAAGTTATGTTTTTGTGTGCACTGAGGAGTCTCAAACAGGCGTTTGTTTAATCATTTTAAGATTGGCTTTAATCAATGTTTGAAAAGGAATTCTTCATACTGTATATGATAAATGAGAGGTAACATTTTATTTATGGTATTATTTCCACATATTTCTCTCCATTCTTCCTTCTGCCAACGGTGTCGCAGTTTCTCGTCTCTCCCGTGTGTGTTCTTAGTGCGTACGCATGGGTTCGAGTTTGCGTGGAGGACCGCACATTTTCCCGTCAAGTTAGTATTTTATAAATCGCAAACATTGCGTAGAAACTGGCGTACGCCATTTTTTGAGCGTATATCCCTTTATAAATGAGGCCCCTGAGCTGTCCAACTATGACAACACTCCTTGAACATGCGCGCGCTATGTGAGAATCTGCCTTGGTACAAAGTAGCAGTGAAAACATGGTACGGAGTTTCATTGATTTGGGCATTCTCTCAATAAGCAAGTGGAATGGATTTCATTTGATAGTGAAGCACTGACACAGCGCTCTACAAAGTGCGGCGAGTGGATAGACCGATTCACGGACTTTCCGCATAGTAAAAGTGGGGGGGTCTAAACTAATCATTTGAAAAAGTGGGGGGGACTTGTCCCACCCTCATATAATGGCTGCGACGCCCATGACCATTTCTATTAGTTATTTTTGTTTATTTCTATTTTCTGAAGCAAAGCATCCGTTAAAACTTTGTTTTTAGTGAAAGCTAAATCTTCAACAAAACATCCCTTAACTGGCCTCTCTA